CCCAGGCCCAGGTCCCTCCGTGGGCAGGACCACCCCTCGGCAGGGCACAGAGCAGCATCTGGACCCTGCTGGTGGCTGAGGCCAGGCTGCACCGTGCAGGTCTGCCTAGGCTCAGTCCACCGCGTGGCTCCGTGACTCGCACGTGGAGAGGGTGCCGAGCACGAGTGTCAGGGGCGGGGACCTTCCTCCCCTGTCCCACCCTGGGCCTTGCTCACGCGCTGGGCGCATGCACCCGGGTGGAAGAGGAGAGTCCAGCTTTGTACAAAGGACCACTGAGGGCAGGGTCATACGGCACCTCCCTTGGCAGCCTGGCCTTTCTAGAATGATGTTCCTGGGAAATGATGTTCTTATAGCAAGCAGTCTGCATCAGCTGGCCCCAGAGAGTCACATAGGCTCAGAAAGAGCCGCAGAAGTTTCTAGTTGCATTTGAGGAGAGTGGCTGGGTTTCTAGCTGGTGATTGAGAGAATCACCCCTAACCTGAGATGTGTAGCTTGAACCTCCCCCAAAACCGGTGCCTCAAGTCAGACTGTGCACGAAAGACCGCGTGGAGTCCCAGGCCTCCTGGAGATGAATTTTGGAATAACTCCGATTCCTTTAGCACCTCTGCCTGTAGCCCTTCCTTCCCTGGGTCCTTGGTTGTGTTGGATACTCTTTTATGAGCCTCTGGAGTAAAAGGCTTGTGTTCCCGCCCTCTTAGCTCAGGGAGGACAGTGCAGAACGGAATTCTCTAGTCTGGGAGCCTTGCCGGCTAATCTCTTGTTAAGTCGGATCAAAAGCTAAGAGTAAACAGATTATATATTTCAAGCTAGGTGCCTGTTAGCGGCTGCTACTTTTAAGTCAGTCCCAGGATCGTTAAAGGAGTTAATATGAGTGAGATCATTTCTTAAAATCTAAAGTGCTGTGTAAATGGAAAATCTGGCTATTAACATGATTTCCCTCCTAAGATCCTGTGACCGATTAAGGAGTAAGTCTCAAAGAGCCTGGGTGCTCAAGACTACCATGTGTGCATATGCGTGTGTGTGTGTCTGTGTGGGTACACACGTGGGCCCATACATGCCTGTATTTGCACACACATGTGTGTGCGTGTGCACTTATGTGTTCAGGTATGACCCGCGCTGGAGGCAAGGAGGGGGAGACTGACGGTAAGGGGAGACGCTCACTACACTGGGGGTTGGCCGTCCCGGAGGCTGGGTTCAGATCCCAGCCCCGGCACTTCCTGACTAGGGGACACCCATCTGTCCTTACGTGGGCCCCGGGGAGCTTTCCCGGACTACAGTGTTGGGGGAGGGAAGGGAATTCCTACCTCTGCAGGAAATGTGGTTGCTTAGAAGCTGAAGTGGGAGCCAGAATCCAAACCACTGGGTCCCCTTGGTGAGCACAGGGCACCTGTCTTCCAGGTAGGTTCCTGCCCCTCCTGAGGTTGCCGCACGGTGACTGTCCCAGGGCCACTGCTTGGGTGCAGATGGGGGCTGCAGGGGGCCTGGCTGGTATTTGCCCCCCACTCTGAGCAGCCCCTTAGGAAGCTGGCCAGGAGGGGGGCTTCCAGACACACCCTTTGGTGTAGAGGGAACGAAAGGTGGGGGCCAGAGCACTGCGTTCTTGCCGGAGGGTCCCAAAGGGGCTCCATGTGGGAGAGGCGTGATGCCAAGCCCTGTGAGTAAGGGGAGGGGCCTGGCTCAGGGCCTGGGCTTCTCACCCCCCGGTTACCCAGCAAGCAGCCCAAGACCCTACCAATGTCAGCTGCACCCTGAGGGTGAAGACTCAGAAACCCACGCGTGTCCTTAGGGAGCCTGGAGTCCGCGAGTGAGCGAGGCAGACCTGCAAACAAGTAGTCAGCCTCCCCCCAAATGACAGCTGATCAGAAAGCGCCGTGGCTCCGACATCATCAAGGCCATGTCGCTGTCCACACCAGCTCAGAGTGTTCTCCGCCCAGATGGCTGAAGTTAAAGGCCTCAGACTGCTTTTAAGGGATCTGGAATTGCCCAGGGTCCTGGGTGCCACGTTGAGGAGCGCATGCAGCAGCCAACATGACGGGCATCAGTACTTGCCTCTGACAGAGGTTAAATCCACGCATCCTCGTTAGCATTTTTCCAGACCACAGGAAGGACATAAGGCAAATGAATGGAGACGAACATTATTTGGGTTTAGAGATTGAGCCGCCTATTTCATCGGTATGTCGAGTTTTAATTAGGGGAGGAAAATCTCTAGGAAACGGTGTTGGTGTCTGGAAGTTTCAAGGGGCAGCGGGTCCCCAGCCCTGGTCCGGCTGAGGCTGAGATGTGTGTGGCTCCCCACCCCCACTGAGCAGCCGTGTTTGTGAAGCTTTTAGCCTGGAGATGCCCTGTCCCTTCTCATCCCTTCTCCGGAGGCCCAGCTGACCATCATTTTATCAGGGAGACAACATGAGCGGGGTAATTGCAGCCTCACGCGGTGTCCTAGATTCATCCAATTATTCCTGTGGGCAGTGGGTGGAGAAGCGGCTGGAGAGCCTGGGTTCCGGCCTGGCGCCAGAGGAGACGAGAAGCCTGTTCTGGTGGGCAAGGGGTGACTCGCCTTTCGGCCCCAGGCCCAGGTGGGCGCAGCTAGGTGTGCTGTGCCATCATCTGCCTGCAGCAAAAGCTGCTCGTCTCCCTGAACACACAGCGTCTTCTGCCATTTGGTTCCACGCTGGTGAAGGGGAACTTCAGAAGGACACACCCAATACTCAGCCTTCCACAGAGCCTCGCCAGGAAATGGGTTCCCATGGTCACAAGTGAGGGTCAGTTTTGCAGAGTCAGGAGCTCAGCCTCCCTTCCAGCATCTGGATTTCTCGAGAGCAGGTGCCAGGGGGCCCTGTAAAGCCTCCAGGCATCGCTGACAGGCTTCAGCGGGGGACAGGGATGTCCTTGCACTTTTTCAGGGAAGAGGTCGATAGCCTTTATCAGTTTCTCAAAGGGGCCTGTGACCTCCCAACAGTTAAGAACCACTGATCAGAATCTTCTATCCATCTTCCTTCATTGCCAGACTGCTTTTAAGCAATGCTCTGACTTCTCGCCGCAGGCACTTTCTAACTAGCATGGGGAAGATTCTCTGCGCTGTTAAATAGGCCCGGCCTGACGCATGGTCTATAGGTGATGTATTCGTGCCTTTCTTTCTTTCTTTTTTTTTTTTTAATTACTTTTTCATTCCAGCTTATTTATAGACAACAAAACAAGAATTAACTTTCTGCTTAGCCGGCAACATCAATTCACGCATGGTTTAAAGAATGAAAGAAAACTCATAAGTCATGTCTTTGACTGCTCAGCCCTTGAATTTCATACCTACTCTATTTTAAATCTCTCATAGCAAGTCTGAATATAAGTCAAGGCCATCCTAAGTATTTTCCCACAGGCTTTGGGAAACATGGTAACGCTGTGTAAGGTTAAGGTGCACCACTTAAAGATCTGACGTGTGTGTGTGTGCTGTGAAATGGTCACCACCATACGGGTCATGACTGTCCCTCACCCCACACATCAGGGGAAACCTGCTGCTGTTCTGTTCCGTACTTTGTTTAGGGTAAATCCCAGCCCTCCCTGTGGGCACAGCAGGCTGGCAGCCTGGCTGGTTTTCATGGGGAATTTGAATAGAAGGCTGCACATTCTAGAACCACTTTAAATTTGGTGACACGTGAAACTGTTTTCAAACCGCTTACAAGTTTATTCTCCCTCCTCCCCACCCCCCACACAACCACCTGTGATATGGGCGGGGCCCAGGGGTCTTGGGACCAGGAAACGGAAGCTTCAGAGGGTCCAAGGGCACCATGTTTGGGTAGAGAAACTGAGGACACAGCATCCACTGAAGTTGGAAGTTGGGTACCCCCAGGGAAAAGCTGGGGCCCTCGGGGAAGGAGGCTGGGGTCCGCCCCCTGGGTCTGTCACAACTCCGACTTCCCAGTGCCTGTGGGGCTGCACCCGGGGGCTGGTCCCAGGACTGGGAGGCTGGCTGTGGGGTTCCCCGAGGGTCGTGACTCCCACCGTGCCCTGGCCAACTTCCCCATCCAGGCAGCTCACACCCCGTGTCTCCCGGAAGTGGGGGCAGGGGCAGCCATCGTGGTGGGGAGCGTGCTTATGGAGCTGATGGCTGGGTGGAATCTGGCCCCTCTGCTCCTGGGCAGGCCTGGCGTCCCTTAGGCAAAGTGGGAACCCTGGGGAAGGGAGGGTGCCTGACCCGCGGAGCTGTGGAGGATCCGGGACACGTGCTGCCCCCGCAGGCCCCTGGCCAGTCTGTGCCGGGATGGGTGGGCACCCTGGCCCTCGGCAGAGCACTGCCACCCTCCGTGACCTCCTAAGGACATTAGTGGTGTCCTGAAGTCCCATCACACGGGCCCTGGAACCTACATCTGGCAGGCGCCTCGGCGGGCCGTGCAGCTGCGGCCACCAGGCCTGATGGGGACGTGAGCTGCCGGGGTCTGTGCCTCGCCCTCCGGAGCGGCCCTGGCTGGGGGTGGGCAGCAGCACCCCACGACGGAGCTCTCGTCTCCTGCCGATTCCTACCATAGGCAGGTCGGTGGGCCGAGTAGCCGGGGTGAGGAGTCAGGCGGGATGAACTTCTGCAGAAAGAACTAAAGACAGAGTCAGGAACATGACACGCTAGAGAAACGGAAACTAACTTCTTCCCAGTGGAGTCCCTGTGGCCGGAACCACAGGCCTACAGCAGCCTCGTGTCAGCCCGTGAAACAAGACAGTGTCCACTCTGCTGTCCTCTCTCTGAGGTGCTCTCCGGGCCCCGCCCCGTGGCCGTACTGTGGGGTATGTGCGGCCAGCGGGGGGGATGGGATCGTTGGCTCTAGGCCCCCGGGGGCGGGTGAGCTACAGGCCTCTCTCCAAAGGCCCCCTTGCCTTCCGAGCCTCTAGAGATGCGTTGACGGGGTGGAGGAACTCAAGGAGGGGGCAGTGGGAACAGTGGCGGCCCATGCCTGGGGGGCCCACGCCTGGGCGGCCCGTGCCACGCACTGGGGACTCACACCAACTTTGTTTTCCAGGAACCTGGGCAAGTCGGGCCTGCGGGTCTCCTGCCTGGGGCTCGGTGAGTGTGGGGGCCCCTCGGTCCAGTGCCACCCAAGGGGGAAGGGGCTCTGGGAGGCCTGAAGGGACCGCCCCTGGGGATGAGGGTAGGGAGCCAGGACGGGGGGGGGGGGGGGG